AGAATTAGCAAACTGTATAGGCTGTCATCGAGAATCAGAGAAACACACTCCAAAGGGGAGATGTCTGCTTATCTTAATCACTTGAGTGAAAAGGCCACATTATGACCATTAGCATAACTTGAATGGGCTTGTCCGTAATGCTAACAGAGGGAAATAAAGGACATTAGGTTTTGACTTCCAATTTTTAAACTATTTACTTCCACTATGAACACTGTATTGTGTTTGTGTAAGTTTCTTGTTAAATTAAAAAGATTTAATAATGCCAGTTTTTAGTGTATCAATTACTTACGTGGCTTTTTTTCCTAACAAGTAAATTTGGCCCTCTAATGGAGCAAATCAAAGATGGCTCTAGGAATTTCCAACAAACTCAACAGCAAATTCATGGAATCCAGTCACAATTGCAGCCACAGCACCATAATACCATTTGACTACCCCAGCAAGTATGGATAACTTCAATTGTTTCCTTTATAATTGGTTACATTTTGATTTGGATCCTTGTAATAATTATTGATAGTTAATGGGCATCTTATGGGAGTTACATATCTTTTTTTCAGTTTATGAAATAGCTTCTTCGGTTTATGAAGCTGTAAGGGTTTTGTAGTTTCCAAATGGGATGTTTGCATAGTATGACATTATTAAAATTGGTTATTTTCTTACATTGTTTTGGTGAACCTACAGATGTCTAGCACTTGGTCATACAAGAAGGGCAACATGACAAGCGGACGTCCATATTGGAGTGCCTCTATGAGTGAACTCTGGCCACAATGAGTCAAAAACCCCCCAATTGAGTTGTGAACCTATATCTTGGTCCGAGGTGCCCAAGTTGTCCAAAGTAGTCCACGACCCTTGGTTCGATCCTCGAACCCATCCGGTAGCTTCACCGAGTGACTTTCACCTAACCAACTAGGTTTCCTCATGACCCAAAAGAAAGGCAACCCAGATAGCTCCAATCCAATAGCCAACTCGGTGAAGTCACATTGGCTTAGTTTAACCACACTTCCAAGGGTAATGTAAACTACAGTTCTATTTTCTTTTTTGTCCAACTACTTAAAAATTGGAGACAAATCTTATTTTTCTTATCTAGCTTGCACCAAATGTGGCAATAAGCCTACTAGAACCACATGTTTTTGTTGAAGCACTAGTAGCAAATCGAGTCACTTCCCTTCAATCTCTCTAGAACTTCGAATCAAATAGACTTGGCAACCTTGGACCGTCGACTTCACACGAAACCAATCTGAAATGTCAGAAGCGTTTTGTTTCATACTGTTAAACAGTTTCTTGGCATCAAAAGACCTAAAAATAAAATTTGAAAGGAAATGGATCCATTCGGGAGGGACAATGAAGTGCTCTGGTGTGTTTTAACACCATAGCGATCTAGTCCCTCCAGTGATGTTGGTCCAATGAAACATCACTGGTGCTGAGTCACTTTTTTGCATCAACAATTTTCCCGGCTGGGGCAAAGTCGTGAATAATCCAATCTGGCATGTGAGTTTGTAGGAAATTGGAAATACTTTGTTCGAGTCCATCATGAGGTATGAGATTATGTGTTTTGGCACGTCCATAATGGCCTCTACATTCTCCGACAGATTTTCGACACGTGGTAGCGGGATCTGCACTAAATTTATCAAAGCGATTAGGTGTTAAGGGATTTTGGGGAGGCGTTGGATGTTTCTTGGGATTGATATGAAGGAAACTTTGTGACCACTTCGAGTTATGAGCTTAGCAACCTCAAAAAATGGAATTTTGTGACTAAAGGCCAGCCATGGAAACAAGGCTATGTGAAACTTTTTAGGTTCAGTGGTGGAGATCATGGTGGTGGAGGTGGTCATATTGGAATCTCTTTTTGCGTATTATATGCGCAACTTGTAGGACAACATATCATAGGCGCAACATATCAGGTGAATGTTTGGCTCTTTCCGATACTGAAGCAGTATACTATTGGTGCACGTTTGAGCTTCTTTACAGAGTCAATTTTGGGTATGGTTCAAACAATGAAGGACAAATCTAGAAAGGTATTCAACAGTTACTGATGGAGTGCTAGTTGTTTATTTCAGATGGAATTTTTTATATACGTCTTATATTTGGCAGCTCGATTCAGAAGGATGTATTTTTTCATCAAGGAGCACAGACGCATTTGTACATGCTTTGTGATCGTTGTTACCTTCATTTTGCAACTACGCTTCTGATACTGCTAAAAGTTTCAACGATCTAGAACAAGCCTTGTGCAGTGCCCTTCAAGATGAACCTGAGATTCGCGGAATAATATGCTTGAGCTTGCAGATTCTTGTTCAACAAAATAAGAAAATTGTGGGAGAAGTGAATGACCTGTTTGATAGTGAAGTTGCCAGACACAGAGCTGTTGCTAATTATGCCCCTCAGGTTACAGCAGACAACTTGAGTGCCAGACACAGAGCTGTTGTAAATTGTAATCTCTTTTTTTTTTCTTGCATTTGTAAATTTTTTTATATTTTCTTCCATATTTTTTTTTTTCTTGCATAATCATTTTATTTCTTACATTTCTAAATTGTTTATATTTTATTGCATAATTATTTTTTTCTTGCCCTTGCCCTAACCTTTTGGGGTGGAACCAAAAAAGGCAAGACTGCATGCCACTATTCACATGAATAGTGGCAGCCCTTACCTTGCCTTGCCTTGCCTTAGCCTTAGCCTTGGCCTTTTGGGGTGGACTTGCTCTAAGGAGGTGGGAAGTCTAGGTATTCGTTTGGTGGAAATGCCTTACTGACAAGAATAGCTTGTGGTCCACAATTGTGACCCAAAAATATTTGAGACATGATCCTTTCTTCAGTCTCAAAAAGAAAACAACTCACTCTATGGCCTAGAGAGCTATCCTTGATGCTAGACCTGTGCTTACTCGGGGGATTAGGTGGATTCTAGGGATGACCTTTCTATTCTTTTTAGGACCGCTAATTGGGTCTTGCCTTTCCCCATTATTGATTTAATCCCTCACCACCAGCACTCTAATATTGAATTAACTAAGAAAGTGTCGGATTTCCTGGTTGATCACAATTGGGATATAAATTATCTTTTGGTTGATAAAATTATGGCATACATATCCCTATCCCAAACCCCTCTGGTACCTTTACTATTAAGAGTGCTTATAATCTTCAAGTTCAAGACTCTTTAGCTCATCCGCAGAATCATTTGTTAAAGAAAATGTGGAAATTTCTTATTCCACCTAAAGTTAAATTATTTTTGTTTATACCACAATGCTTAGACCACTGAGGAGACGACACGTGGACAAAAGATGGAATCGGTAAAGCAGCATTCGGCATCCACGGACTGCCGAACGCAAGGCTGGAGCATAAATGCACTCTAAACTCGTTGAGCATCCACATTAAATGTCTACAGTCCCACATCGAAAATCTACACAACATGCACATCTCCCAAGGCTTATAAAAGGGGCACATGTCCCAAAATAGAGGTAATTGAATCTTTCGGCATACTTAGCCATTACTCTGTCCAGATTATTTACTAAATATGTACTTACTCAAGCATCGGAGAGCCTTCGGTAAGTACCACACCGGTGCCCTAGGTCTTACCGAGCGTTTCTCATCTTGCAGATCATACGCTCTACCGAGACCCAGTGCATTCCGAATGCCCAAATATCACTAAGTTGAGCCCAAAGGTGCCGAGTCACTTTTTTGCATCAACAATTTTCCCGACTCTTAATGAGGAAAAGACTCCAAATTAGAAGTCGTATGCAGAGATTTATGCCTCATATTCCTCCAGATTGTCATGTTTGTAATTCTAATCATGAGACCATTGATCATCTTTTCATCTCTTGTTCCTTTGCCAGCAATATTTGGAGTTGTGTGCCTGATGCCCTTTTGAAGCCTCCACTTTGGTCTGATCTTCTGTCTTGGCTCAATATGTTATCTTGTGACAATAATCCTCAAGGCCCTAATCATTTGTCCAAAGCTATTATGATTTGCTCACAAATTTGAGAAACTCAGAATAACCTTTTATTCAACGATGTTCCCCTCATCCAACTCTATGTCTTCACATTGCTGCTCATGTTGGCTTGGATTACTGGAACCTTAACCACCCTAGTCCTAAGCCTAAGAATCCAGTCCTTGATATCAAGTGGAAGCCTCCTCGCACTAGTTGGATCAAACTTAACTTTGATGACTCTGTTCAAAATGGAAATTCTTCTACTCGCTTTGTCCTAAGAGATAGTGATGGTCATGTGGCACTTGTTGGTGCTAAGTGTTTAGGGGGACTAATCAATTACTGTTGCTGAAGGGATGGCCCTCCGAGATGGCTTGGCCCATGCATGCAATTCACCGGGGTTGGAAAAAGATTTTGGTTGAAGGGGACTCTAAGCTCATTATTGATTGTGTGAGGCGTCAGGTTAGTATTCTATGGATCGGGGTTGGAAAAAGATTTTGATTGAAGGGGACTCTAAGCTCATTATTGATTGTGTGAGGCGTCAGGTTAGTATTCTATGGATCGGGGTTGGAAAAAGATTTTGATTGAAGGGGACTCTAAGCTCATTATTGATTGTGTGAGGCGTCAGGTTAGTATTCTATGGATCGGGGTTGGAAAAAGATTTTGATTGAAGGGGACTCTAAGCTCATTATTGATTGTGTGAGGCGTCAGGTTAGTATTCTATGGATCGGGGTTGGAAAAAGATTTTGATTGAAGGGGACTCTAAGCTCATTATTGATTGTGTGAGGCGTCAGGTTAGTATTCTATGGATCGGGGTTGGAAAAAGATTTTGATTGAAGGGGACTCTAAGCTCATTATTGATTGTGTGAGGCGTCAGGTTAGTATTCTATGGATCGGGGTTGGAAAAAGATTTTGATTGAAGGGGACTCTAAGCTCATTGTTGATTGTGAGAGGCGTCAAGTTAGTATTCTATGGACAGTGAAGATGCTCATCCAGGGCGTGTGGCAGTTGACCTCCTTCTGTGATTCCGTCAAGATTTCTCATGTGTTTAGATAAGCCAACTTCTTGGTTGATGCTTTAGCTAGCTTAGGTCATGGGTTAGACGTGTCCTTTCTTTGGGAGGTTGGTCCCCCTTTGTCTGTTGCGCCTACTTTCTTTTTTACTGTCACCGATATGTCCCTGGTTTTCAGCATGCTTGCAGCTTCGACACATTGTTGAACTATAGAACCATATCCCAAAATTGCAACTCTGCTGCCTTCCATCAGTATTCTTCCTTTACCAATCTATTCAATAGTTGAAGAATTTCAGCTATCTGTTCCATATCCTCACTTAATAAATTTGAGTTTCATTTCATTTATACTAACCTCAAGTGGGGTTCCTTTGTTATTAGCAGGAAGAAGCGATCCAATACCATTGCCTCTTGGAAACCTGAAGCAGCTAGGTCTATCATCTATGGCTGCTGCTGTGGCGACCATGTGCATCAGTTCAGCTTCATCAGATGGAGCCATAACCACCATGTTGGGCAAGCAAGCCATGTATGTGATATCAAATGCTCCGCAGTGGGTGGGCCCATCTGCACCAACCAAGCCAGCTCGATCCATTGCAAAGCGGACAGGTAGTTTTTGAAGATCTACATCATGAACCACCTGTATACCCATTACAAGTCATTAGTGTCATACCAAGCACTGATTTTATAGAAAAACTAACTTTGGAAAGCAAACCACAATCACCTATCCTCCTTTATCTGCTCACCTGATCATATCCTCGTTGCAGGAATGATGAGTAGATAGCACAGAATGGCTTGAGACCTTCTGCAGCTAATCCAGCTGCAAATGTAACAGCATGTTGCTCAGCAATCCCCACATCGAAACAACGATCTGGAAACCTCTTCTGGAAATAATTGAGACCAGTGCCACCACCCATTGCTGCGTGGATGGCTACAATTTTGTCATCTATTTCCGCTTCCTTTATTAAAGATTCAGCAAAGTACTGAGTATATGAAAGTGTAGAGGATTTGGTCTTAAATTGCTGGCCTGTTCTGGGGTCAAATTTGACAACACCTGAAAGTATAAGGAAATAAGGGTCAGTATAAGAATTCTTAGCGAGTATGGGATCATAAAGTTCAAGTCTCACCATGCATTTTGTCAGCTGCTGCCTCGGCTGGGGGATAGCCTTTTCCTTTCTCTGTCATGATGTGGATTAAAACAGGACCTGGGGCAGGCATGGCTTTCACTCTCTGGAATATGGTAACTAAGTCTGAAACATTGTGCCCATCCACTGGACCAATATAATATAACCCAAGCTCCTCAAAGAGAGTGGACCCAGAAGCACTGATCATCCCCCTTGCATACTCATCTACTTTTGCTGCAACCTGATGCGTTTGGCCTCCAATTTGCTTCGTGATGCTCTTTGAAAAGATATTTTCAAAGTCAGATCTTGAAATAAGGTTAACAGGTCAGGATAGGAAGGAATCATTATTCGTAAGCTTAGAGGTTTACCTTTGCAGCCTCACGAAGTTTGCGAAACTGGGTGCTTGATTGGAGCTTGGTTAGAGCACCGCTGAGGGCTCCAACTGGCATTGCAGGGCCATCAAGTGTGGCAGTCGGTAAAGAGACTTGCTTATTGTCATTCAGTATAACGATCAGGTTCGAATCAAGGAATCCTGCATTGTTCATGGCTTCATATGCTTGCCCTGCAGTCATGGCTCCATCGCCAATCACTGAAATGATATTGTTATTCTTCCCCAGTAGGTCTCTTGCGACTGCCATGCCTGCCAATATTTTTGGAGAGAGACACAAAGTTGGATGAAATTAGAAAAGTGTTCATCTATTATGTTGGACATGTATGTTAAAATTGAGATTGAAATAGGTACCTAAACCAGCAGATATGCTTGTAGAACTATGCCCTGCACCGAAAGCATCGTAAACACTCTCATCCCTTTTAGGAAAACCTGCAAGGCCTGAAGTTTTCCTGATTGTGTGCATCTTGGATCTCCTTCCTGTAAGAATTTTATGAGGATATGCCTGCACAAGTTATTGTGAATAGATCAGTACGTAGTTTAATGTCTTTCGATAAATTTATTCGAAATAAAAACAGAATTTTTCTTTTCAATTAAACTAGAAATGAATGTTTCTTGCACCTGATGACCAACATCCCATATGATCTTGTCGTCAGGGGTGTTGAACACATGATGCAGTGCCACTGCCAGCTCCACCACACCTAAGCTTGAGCTCAGATGCCCTCCTGACTGTGAAACACTGTAAACAATATCTACTCTGAGCTCTGCTGCTAGTTGTTCGAGATCCTGAACAACAACAAAAACCCACAATTATCATATCATAAAGGAGCAAAAATGACAGAAACATCAACACAACAAAGCTGCTGCCGTACCTCTGTGGATAGATTCTTCATGTGAGCTGGGTAATTGATTGTGTCCAGCAATGGCGTGCCTGGTTTTTCACCGGAGTAATCGATATTCCATCCGTCTTTTCCTTTTCTGATCAGCTTTCGGTCCTCCTCGCCGTCTGCGTTACCAGCAGAAGCCTTCAAACACAGCTGCCACAGATGATCAAAGCAACCATTGGAACATCAATAAACATAGTCTTTCGACACAACCCACATCAGAAGAAAAACAACAGTACAAAGATTATATCAGCAACCCAAAAAGGAAAGCCAAAAAAGAAAGTGAGGAAAATGAGAAGCATCTGCTTTGGTTTTCAGAACAGCATAATAATAACATGGAAATCATGGAGCCCATTTGCAAGAAGAGCAGCAAAACAGAGAGGAGCAAATGGACATGTAATCTACCAAACCTGTTTTCTGCAACTATGATTTAGCCTTGGATTTGGAGTGTTGAGGCATGGAGAGAGGTATGGGTTTGGTCCAACAAATAAGCCAGAGACCGCCATGGCTAAGCAAATCCAGTTTAGAGACAAATTAATGGGGAGGAGAAGAGAAGGTTGTGAGAATTTTAAAGTTCGGGACAAAAACCAAGTTTATTTATATCGTTGGTGATGCCACGAAAGAGGGAGCCTATGTGGCAAAAAAATATATAATGTATCTAATTACTCTGCGTACATATTTAAAATATGAGAAGCTATCAATGATTATAATATCTTTTTGGGAAAATGGACAAAATAAGAAAAAAAAATCCAAATTTCTTCTAAATAAGAAAATTATTCCTTTTAAGCCAAAATAATAGATAAAATAAAAACAATTTCCATTTCAATAATTAAATAGGAAGTAATCCAACCTCATGCTTTGCATTCTTGTTTTTATACAATGCATGGGTTTTGAACAAGTACATTTTTTTAGTTGTTGAACCAAATCAATTATTGCTTTGCTATGCTTGATTTAGAAATAATGTTGTTAACAATATTATAAAAAGAAATGGAGTTTTTAAAAAAAAAGCTTGATTCATGCATGCCTAGTGAATATTAGACCCCTTTTGTTAAGGGGTTTTTTTCTGGATTATTTAGGCGTTTTTTCAGATTCAGATAACAATAATCGTTTATGAGTTAATGTTTTTATAGAAATAATTCATGATTTTAATATTATATTCTGGTTCCTCGTATTTTAATCATGAATCTAGACTCAATTTTGATATATTTTAAAAAGAAACTACTGAGTCCAAAAACCAATGAGTTAAACCAGCTAAACATGTGACATATGTGACACTTCCGATTGTTTCGATTTCCTTCAGTTTTTTTATCTTTAGAAAACGAGAGCCTACATGATTAGCTTGTTAAAAGCATTTCTGGGAGGGCCTGTTTGAGTGTGCTTTTGAAAGGGTTAAAAACGATTTCTGACAACCAGGGACGGATCCAGGATTTGAAAATAGGGTGGGCTAAATTTATCTTAACAGAAAAAAGTAAATGTTGTTCTCTAAGAATGTGTGTTTTATGAAAAAGGCTAAGTAATAAATATTAATTAACTAAAGAAAAAAAAAGATTTTCTGTGGGTGAGATCACTGGGATGGAGTGTGTGGAGGTGTGCTTTGGTGGGTTGAGTTTTAATATTGGACTATAAAATATCAAGTCACCTAGGCTATAGCCCATGTTAGCATGGACGTAGGTCCGTCCCTACTGACAACCAAAAGCACTTCTCACTATGTTTGGCATAAAATGTTAGAAGTGCTTATAAGTTGTGGAAGCACTTCTTACAGAAGCACCTGCTGAGGAAGCACTCACAATTGCTTTTCCAAGCAGCACTCTAATTTCTTATGAAAATTTCAATATATTCATGATAAAAGCGTTTGCGAGAAGCTCTTATAAGCAAAAGTGCTTTCTAGAGAAGCAGTAAACCAGCCCAAGCTGGTTTTCAAGATTTCACATATAATTTAATCCAATTAAGTGAAAAAATAAATAAAAGTAATTAAATTACATAGGTTGGTTTGATCAGTTAGGTTGGAATTTCCAACACCCGTCAAATCAACAATATTGCTTTGCTTATTTTTGTTTTCGTAATTAATTTTTTTTAATTTCAAACAAAAAATAACAAATTCGTATTTCTTTTCTCAACTGGCAGGGCTGCACTGCATTAATGTAACCCATATATGAACAAGTACATGAATATATATATATATATATATATATATATATATATATATATATATATATATATATATATATATATATATATATATATATATATATATATATATATATATATATATATATATATATATATATATATATATATATATATATATATATATATATATATATATATATATATATATATATATATATATATATATATATATATATATATATATATATATATATATATATATATATATATATATATATATATATATATATATATATATATATATATATATATATATATATATATATATATATATATATATATATATATATTAATGTTCTAATTTGTAAATTGTAATAACATATATAGATATTCTATATACATTGACCACTTGCTAGTTGCTAGCCCTTTCTTTTCACCCTATTAGTATTTTGAAAGATTCTTAATATTCTCTTGTTAAGATAGCAATATTTTTTTTTCCTTTTGGTCAAAGAAATACCAATTCACTGAACTAAATTACATGCATATATATGATATGATTGGCCTCCTGTTATATACAGGAAAGTGATAAGAAGCTCAAGGATTAGATGCTCTTCTCCAAAGACCTCAAGCGAAAGAATCTTGGAGTATGTAACAGTACAAATATAGCTGGGGCGATATTAAAGAAACTTTAATTGGGCATCAACTTTCATTCAAAAATATTAAAATAAAAAGAGTGATTCACTATTATACTCAATATAGAAGTCCAAATTTTAAAATTTTTTAAAAAAAAACCTATATGAAATGGACTTTAGAAACACACCCAAAGCTCATTTACAACATAACAAAATGGCTTTTAACTTCTTTTAAATTACAAAATTGTCATTGATTTCTTAAAACAAACTCAACCCCAAAACCTTATAAAAAAAGCCCAAAACACTCAATAGGGTATCAAAGTAATTTAATAATCAAAATTAAATTCAATAGGGTCAGCTGTCATTTTTTAGGTTTTTTTTTGGTTTATTTATAGAAATTAAATGATGTAGGGTTTATCTATATTATTAGTGCTAAGAATGGGTATATAACTAAATATCTCAAATAAAAATAGATCTAAAGTGAAGTGAGGTTAATAATGAGATGATATATCCCTCTACAGTTACTAAAAAAAAAGGTCTTGACTTATAAATTAGTAGTCTTAAGTTCAAACATACTTGGCACCTTAGTAGTGTGTGTACATGTGAGAAACTCCCTATCCCCATTGTAGCTATCGCTTGTATTAAAATATATATATATATATCTTGAGTAAAGGGATATTTTCCTTTATACCTTCTCCTACCTTGTACATTCTACTTTTTATTTTGCAATGGTATACGATAATCAAAAGAGTTTATTTTTGAGGTCGCCTTAAATGATTATTCTTGTAAAAAAACAATCAAATTCAAATTTGTTTACACTAAAGTGTGATGATTCAGTGTTTAATAAAAACATTAAGTTTTCTTATTTGTTATACAAATCAAATGACTAAATGGCTTTCGATTTGGTTTTTTTTTTTAATTTTTTACAGAGATGTACTTAAAAAATGCTCATTACATTGTTTAACTGAATTGTCCTACCACTATTACTAGGTAGACCAAAGTTGATGTATTTAAATCAGTGTATAGTCTTATTCATATTAATGATAAATATAGTTCTGCATTAAATACGAATCTACTTGCTCTCATTCTCTCTCTAGTTTGAGGAGTTCATCATTGACCACAACTCTTAATAAGTGATCAACCCTAAGGTTGGGAAGGAATTGACAATTGAGAAGAAAATGGCTACCCCTGTCATATCATCCAAAGTACAACTATTAAACCTATTAATAGGAAAAGAAATATACTTTTATGATGCTAAAGTTTTCAAATTAGGTACATCAAATTTGAGGGTTTTTATGATTCAAAAGTTTGGAAATGAGTACGAAACTACATTATTATGTTTGGTAAATCTATTCTTCTTAATGTAATACCAGACTTATGGGTATGAACCTTTCATGTATGGGGAAATTTTTATTTCATAATAATGTAGTTTCATAATAATGTAATACCAGATTTTTGGTAACTTCTTGAGAATGAACTTCCCATGTATAATCCCATGAGATGGGAATGAATGATGTTATATTTGGAAACATTGGGAAATGATAATTAGGAAAGGCCATTTTATCATATTTCCATGTTTCGTTTCTGCAGTATTAGGAATTAAAAAATTTCAGTTTTCCAAAAATGCTTTTAATTTTTTTATTAAAAAGAAAGAAATATGAAGAGTTTTTCAAGGGTAAAACATAGTATTTTAAAAATAGAATAGGGATAAGTTAGTCATAAAAATTTGCATTAAATGCTTTCCCAAGTAGGGGGGAATTTTCCCAAGCTCATCCAAGGGTATGAAATTCCCCTTATATGGAAAGTCCATACACCCATGAGTCCATAATTGCATTTCCAATAGTGCACTTACCAAACATGGGAATGCAATTTAAAACCCATTCCTTGGGAATCTTTTTACCCCTCACCTGAGAAAGTATTTAATTAATTTTTTTAAAAAACTAACTTATCTCTATTCTAAATTTCAAATACCACTTTTTATTGATAACTTTAAATAAAGAATAATAAAGGGTATTTTGGAAAACTGAAAGAAAAAAAAATATTCCTAATACTACTACACAAATCAAACATGGAAATGAGAGAAAATGTTTCTTTTATGTGTAATATTATTTTAGGCCGGATGTATTTTGAACTGTCGTTTAACTTAATTGTAATAATCTAACCTTAACACAAAGGTTAATATTTTTTGTGTGTATTAAAAAGAATAATCATGGGGAATATTTATTTTTCTTTAACACAAAGGTTAATATTTTTTGTGTGTATTAAAAAGAATAATCATGGGGAATATTTATTTATCTTCTATCATGGGTTAGTAGGCCCCCAATAAAATAATAATAAATGTTGAAATAGGCTTATTAAGGCATGGAAACGATAAATTTGTCTGAATAAGAGCATCAACAAGACGGTCTTTATGCCCAGATGCCAACACGTATGACTTGTCTCCTTCTGCATCCACCCTTCGATTAATTTGGACCCATAATTTCCACCTCTACTAAGAAAACCCACTCAAATTTTAATATTCTTCGTCATGGACTTATACGGCAATATAATATTTTAAATCATAATTTAGGTTTGCATTTACATATTCCACTGCAAAATGCGAATATTTTTCATGGAAATATATATATATATAGTTAGTCAATTTCATATATATCTTTGAACAATATAGAACATATGTGATTACTTTCTTATGGAAATATAGAGCTATGGTTAAATTGTCAAACCACAACTATTTTATTTGAAATGAAAAAAAAAAAAAAAAGTAAAACGACAGTCTATATTTTAAAATATAAATAATTAAAAGTAAAAAGGAAATAAGAGTCTATGTCCAACAAAAATATCTCTTATTAAAATAAAAGAATGAATAAAAATAAAATAAAAAAACCTATTGCTACGTGCACGAACGCTGATTGAGATGTTAGTATGTATTCAAAGAGCAAATAACAAATTATTTACTAATCATGTTTGTAAATTGTGCCATTTACTTATGGTGATCCAAGGGAACAAAAAATAACTAAAACGTTTAGAGTATCTGCAACGAGTTCCTTAAAATAAAATAAAAATTCTAGAAGCTCTTAAATTTGAGGAGAGATAAAGGACTCTTAGAGACTCCTGAAAATAACTTTTGTATATTTTAACTAAATTTTAACTAAAAATAAATAGAATGATTACGAATGCTCTTACTCTTTTGTGTGTTATTAAGAATTGGTACAGGATTTTCATGACAAGTCTGTCGTTTTGTGGTATTTAATGTCGGTGCTTCATTATGCTTTGCTTTGGAAGTATTCAAATTTGGTATTGTATTGTTCATGAAATGATGGAAACGTCGATATTATTAATAGCTTCTCCACCTCCTACGATTATGTCGCTTCTCCCAACTCTTCTACTGGTTTCAGATACTTTATAGTCTAACAGCACGAAACAACCTACAATCAATGGAGAAAGAAAGTGTTGGATGAGGAGGTCTGTTGACGAAGTCAGAATTTTATGTGTGTGGGGGCCTCTTACAAATTATAAAGAATCATAAATTCGAACTTACAATACATACGAAAAATAATATATATATATATCACATATGTCAAGAATTGTATTGCTCATTGATTGCAATCATAATTGTCCTCGATAAAGGGATAGACAAATCCATTCTAAGCAAGAAAAATTGTAAGAGATAAATAAAGAGTAGCGATTTAGTAAATATTTTTAAAGCTTTTTCCCCCCATTAAACTCAATGAAATTAAAAATTAAAAATTTCACAAACTAAAAAAAAACCATAAGTAGAGAGAAATATAATATGGAGTTTAAGAGAAAAACTCAAAAACCTAGTTCTAGAGGAGGGGTAAATTCAGGAGGATTTCACTAATTAATCCATTTTCGCATGACATGATATACAAAAGTCCTTATAGAGCCTATTTGGAGTGAAAACTCAAAATTAGCCACTTGTTATTTTCTAATTGGTTCTTATAAAATTTTAACACACTAAGAACCAATTAGAAAATGACAAGTGGCTAATTTTGGGGTTTTCTCTCCAAATAGACTATATGAGTTTTTGTATAATATGTCATGCTAGAATGAGTTTTTGAATAAATATCTTTAAATTTTGTTGTCTGCACTAAGAAAGGAGGGGTGAAAAAGACTATTTTTAAGGTTTGTGTAAAAAAATGTAAGATAATATTAATAGTTATATTAAACTTTTTGGTAATTGATTTGCAAGTATCAGAGGCGATGTGGGTTTTCACTAGAGAGGGCCATTTGTGAGCATATATCAAAACGTAAAGTATTTGAAATAGTATACATATAGAAATACATAATAGTATATTACTTTTAAAATATTAAAAAACTTGAGTGGGGGCCAAGAGTACACTAGTCCCAATGTGACTTTGCCCCTGAGGTCTATCCACATCACTTGTACGATCACTTTCATGAGGCCCTATATGCAGGGAGTCTCTCTTTTTTTTTGTGAGAATGGTTGCACATGTGATACACGATTGGATCGCCTCACTTAAGACTTTCTCCGATTCACTGCTCGAATATGATGTTATTATTTCCACATGGCAAACCTGCTGGTGCTTGCTGGATTGCTAGTATACCTTCACCAATCACCATCTTATTTTGAAAAATGTATATTTGATTGATTTGGCCGCCTCCCTATGCTTAGACAGTTGGACAAACCAATGGTTCATGAGTATTTTGTGATGCTTGATACAAGAGACGGATTAAGAGAATGGAACAATAACAAAACAACCAAATGGAATATGAGAAAAAAGGTGTGTACAAGGCTTTAATTTTTTGTTTAAGAGACAGCTTCATCAGCTTACAAAATACCTTAATATAATACTCAGAATTTTAAATACATGACTAATCAAATTTAACATAAGAGACCGCAAACTGCAAGGGATCTTGGTCATTTAACCTGTACATGTTGGAAATCAGATGAAAGATGCGAACCAAGGAGGAGGAATGACACGTGTAACGGATTTTAATTTTAGTTTGTTGTATTCTCATTGTTTTCTCCTCACCTTTCCTCTCGAAAAACAACAACAAAAGCTTTATCTTAATTCTAAAACAAATTCATAATTATTCATAAATCTTACGAACTGTCAAGATTGAGATTTGTTTAAGAGACAGCTTCATCAGCTTACAAAATACCTTAAGAATTTTAAATACATGACTAATCAAATTACACAGAATTTTAAATACATGACTAATCAAATTTAACATAGAGACCGCAAACTGCAAGGGATCTTGGTCATTTAACCTGTACATGTTGGAAATCAGATGAAAGATGCGAACCAAGGAGGAGGAATGACACGTGTAACGGATTTTAATTTTAGTTTGTTGTATTCTCATTGTTTTCTCCTCACCTTTCCTCTCAAAAAACAACAACAAAAGCTTTATCATAATTCTAAAACAAATTCATAATTATTCATAAATCTTACGAACTGTCAAGATTGAGAAAGAGAGCAGCTGTGCCGAAATGCTCAAGCAACTAGTGCCATCATTTTCAAACTACTTGGGCCATATTTTGGCGACGGGGTTAATTATTGTAGCAGTAAAGTTGTAATTGGATAACGTTGTCTCAGAAGTGACATATTTTAATGTTTGAATTTTATTAGGGTTTTGTGAGTTTGGAAGGAATCTTTGAGTCCATGGAAACGAGATGCACGAGGCATAGGAGACAAACCTGGGTTTGTTGAATTCAAGCTTACACATACAGACAAAAGACTCTGGCCTCAACTTCTCAATAGTCTAATGACGTACAATTCCAAATTCACGTTTTAGGAATCTTTCTCACCTCAAAAAGAACACATGGGATGGGACTAAACTTTGTAGGCCCAAATATCCCATTTTTATCATGCATCTCACATTTCGCGGATGGATGCATATTGCCACAAGTCATTATTTCATCCAATAATTCGACCAGGTTTATGATGGATACATATTGCCATATGCCATTATTTGTCTTTTGGCTTTTTGTTATTATTATTATTATTATTATTATTATTATTATTATTATTATTATTTTGGTAACTGAATTTCATGTTCTGATCAATAGGTATTTTCGGCAGTCGTTTGACAATGGACCTATCTCTATCTCTAGATTTCTTATTTTTATCCTATATGTGAAAGGCCCATTTCGCTTCCTTCATTTAAAGTCCATGCTTCTGTTAGCTATGTCCCAAAGGACACTGGAGCTTGACATTGCAAGAGGAAAATAAATGAAGAAAACCAAGGTTCACAATGAAGTGTATGAGTGTTTCAAGTGTGAATGGTTTTACTTTTATATTTAGTCAGCTCTGCTAGATAAATTCTACAACTTGCTAAGTTTAATTTCGGGTAAAATATATGCCAATATCTCTTCAGGTGAGAGCTCAACTATTACAGGAACCTAAGCTACCCTGTAGTATCTTTTGTTTTGAGTCCAAACAGAAAAATTCAAAATGAAAAGCACAAATGGGTTTGAGGCGTATTTACAAGATGGTCTGAGTTCAATGGCCTGCAATCTTTGGTGTTTGCTTCTATAACCACCTATGCCAGATCCAAATCGGATTAAAACAAGTCCGGACGTTTACTTTTTGGTTGGTTTGTTTTTGTTTTTTCAAACATTACCTTCTTGGGTCTAGTTTCATTATGGTTCTTGTCTTCTTGGGTCTTGCTCAACTGGTATCAACATATTGGTCAACTCAGGTCCACATATAACTATAAGTTTGATGGCATGGATGACAAGGGTAACAGTGTCTGGATCCTTGCAGGGTTTCTGATTTGGCATTAGTGATGCTTTACACTCCATAGGTTCTCCACAATTGGAGATGGCTACTCCTACTAGCACAGATAGAAGAACTGGGCATGGTACCCCAGTCAAGCCATGAAATTGAGGACATTTCTGATCTCGAGGATTGGGTTCAAGATATGTGTCTCAACTCATACACGACGCGGCACGACTAGTTAATTGGTTGAGTCAACGTTAAGTTATCTGCACGATTAATTGAATTGATTGGTTTAGGTTCACTAGTACTTGACACGAACTTGAAAGGGGTACACATGACCTAAACACGACATGGTACGACCCAGTGCGACTGTCACCCTTAAAAGTGGCCTGGAAAAAGAGTAGGAGAAGGCTGGATTCTCTTCTTTCCTTCATCAAATAATTAATGAAGGGAATGAATGGAAAACTGAGATCCCAATAGCATGTTTTAGATTGGGTTTGTAGGCCATCTTCCAATAGACTATGTCAAGATAATGCATATATCATTATAAATCATGCTCCCATTTGGTCAAGTCATCAAAAAATGTAACCAGAACTGCAATTTATGCAACCCTAATTGCTTCATCCAAATCTAGAGGCCAAATAGTGGTATAATACCTAGTCCAATAACAAAGAATATTCCTCTTGGTTTTCTATTAAAACAAGAAAGTACAGAACCAAACAATGATGATAGGTACAAAGAGGGAATATCTCCATATAAAGAACGAACAAATAGTAAGATTGTTTGGTTACCTGTATTTTTAATTCCTTCATCAAAGATCAGGGAGAAGGATGAGACTACTGTATGTGCTGATTTACAAGCCTTCGATTTGCTAGCCAGAAAGTGTACAAAATGTTAACTGGCAAGATCAGTATTTGATAACATGGTGGCGCAACCAAAGATCGTACATGACCATGTGGAATGCATCATATTTGACGGGCGGTGAATTCCACTGGAAGTGTTGCTGGACCTAATGAAAGAACAAGCCACAAAAAGAATTTCTTACTAACCTCCAACTTTTATACTTCTGGTATAAGCAACGCTTAAAAACACGTCTTCACAAACAATCACAGACACCCACAAACGACATATAATGGAAACAGATTTATTACATAAAAGTTGAAGTGTATAAGATTTTTTTAATTGTGAATGAAAGTTTTACCTTAACCAAGTTTTTGTGAAGTGTAAGAAACTCTGAATATGGTATATCCTTAAGACTTTGTTTAAGGTTATACACATCCTTCTCAGTAAGTATGACAGCAAATTTTCGCCAATCAAGAATGTCATTGAACGGCAGGTCATAGTAATTTGATAATATTACTGCAAGAAATCAAACCAATCAGCTGATAAACAATTATAAGGACTTTGAATGGTATACATTACATCTCAAGCTAAAACCAAAAGGACAAAGTCAGATAGGAAATTGAACTTCCATGTTTTGTCAATAGAAAAATTAATCACTAAGAATCCCCTCAAGTTACTGTCAATATGCAGTCCTAAGAGAAAGTGCAACTGCACCCCAGAACCCTTTACTGGTTGAACAGTAGTAATTGATGAGTGGCATGAAAGATTAGACTCGAGGCATACACCCATTAGATAGGCAAAGCAGCACTAATTATTTGATCAGCACTACATTGAACACAGACTTGAGGCATGTACACATTGAATAAAAATGAAATAAAAACAAAAATAAAGAGATATCTGCAAGGAGAGGCTGGCTTAGCTTGAAATCTCTGGTCAAAATTAAAACTATTTGAAGAAGAAAAGTTATCTTTTGCTGCTTCTTTTTTCCATTTCTATTTCTCTTTCTTTTTTCTAAAAATAATATGGTCGCATGGCTTGATCATTGATTTTTACCATTCAAGCAAGGATAGAAGATAAAATCATTGCATACCTCTCATTGCAATTTGCAAGAAACAAGAAGATTTGAATTCTTACCAGGAATACATCCATAATGGATTGAGTCAGTTATACGAGCGCTGTTGACCTGGGAACCGCCAGGACATATGCAGAACTTGGTATTGTAAAATTTCTTTTGATATAACAAATTCCCTTCAGCCCTATTTATTCTGTTGTTCAATATGTAAAGTTCTGTGTCATTCTCCCATACTCGTGCCAGTATAACTCTAATTTTGGAGTTCCGATGACCGGCCCAAAAACCGAGGGTTGTCCTGCAAAGCATGCCTCGTATTAATTAATGAACTTATATTATTAGGCTAAATCTAGTTGCAACAAAGTGATAATTACCTCCCATTTGGACACATGTCTTAACTTATAAAACATATCATCCAATAGGTCAACCACCATGAACTATGGAAATTAATCCAAAAAGGGAGCAATACAAAGTGCATGTGTAGTTCATTAAGCGATAACAGAATATACACAAGAAACTGATATCCTTCTATATTACCTGTTTTCCACATCGTTTCCTCCGGCTGGAAGAGCAAATGGCTGGAGTACTTGAGGAAGGGCAACATCTTTGTGTGGAATGAAGCCAACGTCATAGCTAGGGGAGCACACAACTCGAATCGAATTCTTTACAAGAAGTGGAAATCCTTCCGTTGCCCTCACCCCAACATCATGACACGTGACAAAGAAGTGGTCCGCACCCAGGGTTCGGTTCCAGTAAGGATACTTGAATATCAAGCTCTCCACATAGTCCCGAACAATCACGGTCATTTCGTCATAAGTTGTATTCTGAAAAATCATTATATACCAACATAGGAAAGGTCAAATTCAGAGTAAGAAGTTTGTCTTCTGCATTTAGGCATTACCATGCCCATTCGAGGTGAAGCAAACTTAGACTCTCAAACAATTACAACTGTTAAAATAAGGTGGCATTGGAACATAAACAAAATCCAACAATGGAGTTTACGTGTATTATGTGTTAGTAGTCACAAACCACCAAATGCTTCCAAGCATTGGTACATAGAGACTAGAAAAACCAATAAGAACAGATGAAACTAATGTAAATCAGCAACAAATAAAACCATGGGTCACTGCATAGTTCATCTCCACAGTTGCACTAGTTGTAGTTATATGTCTATAGTAAAATTCAAAACTCATCCACACAAAAATTGAGACTTTGAGATATGTCAGATCCACAGCAACAGCAACAATGAAAAGCCCCATATATAAAGCTCTACTTTCCCACAATTTTCTCAGCAGCCAAACAGTTCAAACAAAATCAAACAGAAACAGATAAACTTAATACCTTGCCTCGCATCTTGTGGCAGGAGATAGGGATGAAGAAGAGGTGAGCTTGATCCGGATCGTCCGTACGGAACCGACTCTCTCTGATATTCTGGAAGAAGTAGCCCTCGCTGGCGTACTTGCCAGTGAGCTTCCTGGGCGTCTGGTAATACGTCTTTGGATCGCCGTCGGGGTATATATAGACCTTGAATTTGGCTTCCATCTCGGCGAAATTCAACCGAAACACCTCCGGCGAGTGGTAGATATCGGAAAACTGCTCATTTGTATCGGCCGAGATGTGAATGGTGGGGGAGGAGGAGAAATGGACGGAATTGAGAGAGAAGTAGGTGAAGGAAAGCAAGGTGAAGATGGCGAGAGTCAATAGCGATCCCTGTAAAGAGAACAACATCGGAGAAGACGACTGTGAGTGTGGTTGCGATTGCTTGCCCAAACTCATTTGCTCTCTCTCCACTCTCAAGCGGGAACAAGAAGCTCAGCTAAGCCAACGCTTGCCTTCGCTGCTGCTTCGATTTGGACTTTGGAGATTGATTTTTACTTTTCTTCCTTTTTGAGTAAAATCATTCAAGATTTGATTGTCAAGTGAGTCCAACCAAATTGAAGTTATAAATATAAAAAAATTGGAAAAACTTTTGTTTGTTTTTTTGCTTTTTTATGGGGAATTAGAAAAAGAAATGGTTGGACCCAAATTTTTTTTTTTTTTTTAAAAAAAAGAAGCTGAAAAAGGGAAATT